TGAGATGGTCGAGACTCAAACACGTAAACGATGGTGAGGTGACACAGGACCGCGGAGCGTTTGGTTCCATTGTACACGGGGTCACTGTGCGTTGGCGCTGACTCCGTGACACTCCACAAGAACAGTGTTGCTTCTCAGCAGAGTTTCCTTACAAACAGTAAAGCCTGAGCATGGAACTGCAGTGAACTTAGCTTCAGAGTCTTACTGCGTAGCCCAACAGGAAAAGCGTGTGTCAAGGGGGAGTTCATTTGGATTGTGTTTGATTACAGCAACCAGAAAGGCATATCTGGGGAAAATAGGTTAGTGAGGAGCATTCCTAGCTTTTGGGTGAGAAGAGTTGCTTGAAGAGTTGACATGAGACACAACATCAATCCAATCGTAGATTTAAAAACACGGCAGACATAAGTCTTTACAGAAGTAGACTGTAGCCATCTTTGTCCCTCAGAGGAGCTGATGGGTTTTCAGACTGCTGACTTTTCAGTTAACTCAGCCCACTGCTCCAAGACAGCTCCTGTGAATATCAGTCGATGAAGCAAAGATGACAGAATGTTAGCAGTTGCTGAAATGTGTGGCGGTGGGTATATCTAAGGGGGCTTTGAAAAGTTGGTGGAAAAAATGGAATTAAGAGTTACTGGAATTTCTTCACAAACTTTTTGAGGCCCTGTATTGCTTTCCAGTATACTTGAAAATGATCACAATAACAAGTTTTGTTTTTTAAAGTAAAAAATAATGATAATAAAACAAGGCAGATGGTTCTCAAATGGGCTTTCCTGGGCTCTTGAAGAATATTCATACATGCTATTGATACTGCTCATGTATCATTGCTTATTTTGGTTATCAATACCAAGTATTAAGTGGCTGAATAAGTAACCTCTGGATAGCTACGTGGGACTTCAGCCCTTCAGCCAAGACTTTTTTTTTTTTTTTTAAAGTGGAATCTGCTAAGATGAGTTTACAACCAGTGATGTCTAAAAATGGGTGTGGATCAAAAAAGGGCTTAGGTGGACAAATGTGCAAACCTTGTGAAAATGCAGGGTTTTTAAAGCTTTGCTAGTTTTAAAAGTTAATTGTATTTTTCATCAGTTCAAACTGACCTTGCAGTCCAGTGCTTATCCTACAGCACCATACCAGATTTAGAAACTAAATATATAATTTTACCCTGTTATACAGCATTTTAATGACTTAGCAGTTTCTCTTCTGTTTATCTATACGGGTGTTGCTATGTGTCATTGAGTCGGTTCCGACTCACAGCAACCCTGTCTAGTGTTTCTGAGGCTGTAAACCTTTATGGGAGCAGAAAACCTCATAGTTCTCTCACAGAGTGGCTGATCGGTTTAAACTGCCAATCTTGTGGTTATCCCACAGAGCCACCAACGCTCCAAATATCTGTATATAATATCCTAATTTTGCTACTTATTCCAAAAAGCCTTAACCACTAACCATCTTGGTCTCTAAAGAAAACCATGCCAATGCCTGGTTGGGACTTCTGGTACCGTCTTGAGTATGAATAGAGAGGAGGGACACTCTTGGTTTGTTCTGGATCTCAGAGAGAGACGCTCAGTCCTCCCCTCTCTGTGTATTATGAGCGGTGGGTGTTCCGCTACGTTGAGGAATCTCCCTTCCCTTATCCAGCTGCTGAGATCGCAGTCGGCATGGATGCTGGACTTGGCACTTTTCCTGTGTGCGTGGAAATGGTCAGTGGTTTCTCCTTAGCAGTCTGTTCATGCCGGGAGCCTCCAGCTTACAGCAGCCTTCCACTCGAACAGCTGCGTCGTCAGCTCACTTCTGTCACAAGGCAGAGACCTCGTTTTATTTATTTTTTGTTTGTTTTCATTGGCGTTGCCTTTCACTGTTAGTTTTGTACATCTGGCAGCGTCTTGAACAATAAATCATAAACCTGAACCTTCAAGAATGAGAACATCTGCAGATTGCGTGCTGCCGCAGATTGTCAATGACGTAGCTACACCTTCACCCCCAAAAAAGGATGGAAGGTCGTAAGTGTGGCTCACTGAAACACGGGTACGTTGTAAGTTGGAGACCACCGCGTAGTGAACGACACTGGCAATTCAAAACCCTGACACCATTACCCCATCTTGTTCCCCGGCGCCCCCTGTGCTCAACTCCCCTCATGTCCTCTCATACCAGCGTTATTGCTTTTAAGTGCTGACCACAGACTTTTTGTGGTTTAGACCGACCCTGTGGTCCAGTGTTTGAACCCACAGCACCACACCAAGGTTCCGTAATACCAGTATATAGCTCTGAAATTTTTTTACAGAGAATGAGGATGTGCTGTGTGGTGCTGTGGGTTAATGCGCTGGATTGCAAAGTTGGTTTGAACTGCAAGGTCTGCGGTTCAAGCTCAGCAGCAACTCCTTGGACACCCTATACAGGGTCTTTATGGGTCAGAACTGACTCAACCGCACTTAACAATGACAACTCTTGTCTAGTTGATTCCAAATCAGAGTGACCCTATACAGAGTTTTTGAGACTATAAATCTTTACCTGGTCTGTCTCCCGCAGCTAGTGGGTTTGAACTGTCAGCCTTGCTGTTGTCAGCACCGAGAAGACTCCTTCATACTACGTATATTGCTAAGTGATCTTTTCATAGCAGTAGATTCAGGCGCTTGTTCCGTGTCCGTAATGTAGAGCTGTGTTACCTTTTTAACGGCTGCATGGCATTCCATCAACTGGAGCACATATGTTGGCTCGATCTTACGTGATGGCTCTGTTTTTAGTGGATGATAGTGGAGACCCTGTGGGTAGCGTCTCATCTGGGAACCTTCTTTCTGTAGGGATCTAGAGTGGTGGGGTGAGATTGTGGGGGCAGGTACGGCACTTCTGACGAACCCCAGACCACGTTATCTGACAGTTAGCAATTATGTCATTTTTAATTGTTGAGTATTATATTTACAACCTCAATGAATCTCTTCTCTCTTTTTTAACCTTTTGTTGTGAATCGAGTGAAGATTTATACACAAGATTGTGAGCTTTACATTCCACCAGTCGTAGACTATGTTTCATCTCAGTGATGATGTTCTCCTACATGGAAAAGCAGTTTCCTTGTTTCCTCCCTGTGGGTCCTATTTGTATTCCACCCACCTTCCGATCCGTTCTCCACTTGGTCCTCAGAAAATGTTACCTTTTTGATTTTGAATGACTGACCGTTCCCATGGCGAGCACAGCTTAGTAATGTTTTGTATGTGTGTGTGTGTGTCCAATTTGTATCTTATACACATTGCTGTTAATTTCCTTAGAGTGGATTACTAGCAGGAGCATTTGTGGCTTGCTAGTAGAGTCCTGGTGTGGCGCTGCGGACTAATGCGTCAGACTGCAAAGTCTGTAGTTCAAGCTCACTAGCTGCTTCTTAGAAACCCTATCTATACGGGGTCACTGTGGGTCAGAATCGACTCAACGACACTTACCAACAACAACAGTTGACTTTTTAAATACCCTTGTGTCTTGCCTGGTGGCCTTGTTTGGCAGGCTACCTCAGGAGCATTTCGATCCATGGCTCGTCACTCCCAACCCTTTTGCATTCTGACAGGTGTGAACTAAAAGACATGGGATCACAGTGAGGGTCGGGTTGCCTCATTCCCGTGTCTCAGTGCCAAGTGGGGCTGTCCTACAAGGAAGGTCGCATCCCTTTCTAGGAACCCTGGTGAGAACAGCCCCTTGACTGCCTGGGAGTGAGTCCCAGGCCTGCCTTTCGTATGGTTAAGGGTTGGCTTTCTTCTCCAGCCAGTCACCAGATTCCCAGGCCCGTCAAACAGCCATTTGCCACATTGAGTTCCCTCATTTCATCTCTCTCTGGACTAACCCACATCCATCTATTTGACCCAAGAGGCAGCTCCCAGCTTCTGTCTGAGCACATGGGCTACGTCTGTGGGTCCAGGCTTCTGGCTCTCAGGGAGCAGTGAGAGAAGACCAGCTACACATATGGGACTTCACGTGACTTAGAGGTTATTTGCTTGAGCAGGCAAGAGGGATATTTTGGTATTTGCATCCTTTCTTTGTGTTTTGCTCTTATAACCTAATTTTCAGTATTACTTAGAGAGTTTAGACAAGTAAATTGATGATTTAGAAGTAATCCCACTTTGCCGATCTGTGTTCCTTTGCTACGATATTTTAAAGAATGAAATGAAAACCTATCCTGGCCCTGGGATTCTCTGCACCAGCAGTAGAATGTGAGCGTGCGTGGTACTGAAGGGATGTGATTTAACAGCTGTGGAATGATGCAGTCATACCCCCATCCTCACTGTCATATAACCTGACCTGTCACTAAGTGAGGATCTGGGTGGCTGGGGAGAGTACCTTCAGATGCGATCACAGTCCTTGTCCTTGTTTCTGTCATCACCACCCTCCTCCCACCCCCAGGCAATCCCGAGCTTTTCCTGGTTCCCTGATGGTGACAGGACCTTCCTGAGTGGACAGAGGCCCACCAAGCTGGCATGAGAGCTTATGGGCACATTACACCGCTGGGCTCAGGGGTCCTAGGTGCTCAGAGCCCTGATTCCCTCAGGCAAGCCCCTGGTCATGGACGTCGGTGTCACCTGGGTGACGTTTGTTGATCACCGAATGAACCCTTAGTTCTACAATACAGAACATCACAGTGGTGTGACCAGGCTGAGTCTGGAGCATGTGGAACTGTTCCTCTCTTCCCGGAAGCCCCGTCTTGGCCAGTGTGGCAGTCCTCAGAGCAGCTTTGTTGACATTCTAGAAACCCAGCCTTCTAGAAAGCTTAGTCACTGCCTCAGCAGCCCTGCCATACTTCTCTGCTTGGGGGGTACCCAGTCTTATACATGTCAGGTCAGGGGCGACTGGTGCGTCCTGCTGTGCCGAGCTGACCGGCCCCGTGGGGGTCACAGCCCGAGCTCATGTTAACAGCAGCCATCCCAACGTTGTCCTCAAGTCCTGTCATCTGCACGTGCTGTTTGTGAACAGACGTTCCATGGAGCTGCTTGCATGCTTGTGCTTAAAGATGACATGTTGCTTCTCCGTAGCCGAGATGAGAAAGCAGAGGGAGTTCTACCACAAACTAGGCATGGAGGTGCCAGGAGACATCAAGGGAGAGACGTGTTCTGCAAAACAACACTTAGATTCCCATCGGAATGGTGAGTGAGCTGCTCATCTGCTTGTGGAGACGCCCAGAAAACGTTACCTCTAATCGTTTGCTTTGTCCTCTGAGCCTTCTTTCTAGTGGTGTATTCTGTAAAATAGCAAACCTGTTGATGGGGGCACACGGGAAGGTTGCGATGATCCGGCGCGCCCCCTGAGCCTCTTGGTGGGCAGTGGGGGGTGGGTCACTGCCGCACGTTAAATCTGTGGCAGCTTCACTGGGAATGGTGAGAATTACTGCTGACCAACGACAGGACCAGGATTGGTGCTGGGTCGGGGGAAGGCCAGAGGACCCCGACTGTCCAGAGCTTGGAGCACCCAAGGGTGGAGGCTCAGGGAAGAAGTTGTGGAAGGCAAATGGCTTAAAACTTCAGCTTTGTTTGCATTTACGGCAAAATGCCAACTTGATCTTGTAGTTTCTGTGCTAAGCTAATGGTGTTGTTACATCTGTACGCATCATAACCGATGCTTCAGCTCTCTGGGGCCAGAGTGTTTTTCTAGTAGATGACGCAGACCCCTAAGCAATGTCTAGGCCACCCTGTGTATTTGTAACAATCTGGAAAAAAGAACGGGCCCACCAGCTCTCGCTGTTTGGAAAGGTGGGAAGTCAGTAGAGACAGGAGTCGGTGTCCCTTCCCTAACTGTTTGACCCGAGGGGAAGCCTTAATTTAAAATTAGTGGACTGTTGAAAATTTGGTGAAAATTCTAGGCATCACACTTTGTTGAATGAGGTACAGTAACATATTCAGCGTGGAATAGCGCTGAAAAAGCTCTGGCCCAGAGTTTGTCTGTGTTCCCTCCACCAGTTTCTGCCCCTGTCTTTATCTGCTGTGTACCCATAAATCCACGTGTGCACCCCACTTCCTCTGCCTGCTTGCTCACAGTGTTTCCGGGAGCGCTCTGCGACCGCAGTTGGCAGGATCTGTGGGTTTCCTTTGACTCTCACACGCGTATTTGATGGTTCAAAGTCTCATGCTAGAGCAGATTTTGTCATCGTGGTTTTTGAGGGTACTGTGTGGTTTCTAGATCCTGTGTTGGATTGCCCACGACGTGGTTTTCTGTTGGTGCTAACAGGTGAAACCAAAGCAGACGACAGTTCCAACAAAGAGACGGCCGAAGAGAAGCAGGAAGAGGACAATGACTACCACAGGAGTGACGAGCAGGTAGCCTGGGCGCCCCTTTCCACGCGGCTCTCAGCGTGTGTCTCAGTGACGCAGCTGGTGGTACACTTCGTGAAACCGCAGCAGGGACCGGTGGCCTGGTTTTACCTGTTTGGAAATGAAAGGGCCGAGGGAAGGAGCGAGCAGAGCCGTTGCTGCCTTGGCACGCTTGCTGGCTTTTTGCCTTTCTTTTCTCCTCCTCCTTCCCTCCCTGTGTTGTACCAAAGTAATCGTCCCACCCGAACCCACTGCCCCGAGTCAGTTCTGAATCACAGCGACCTTTATGGGAACAGAAAGTAAGCCTCCTCGTTCTCCCACGGAGCCGCTGGTAGGTTTGAACTGCCAACCTTGTGGGTAGCACTTCCTCTAGCACCACGTGGTCTGTGAAACATTTGTTGTTGTTTCTTTAAAATGCCTTTTTATTATTGAATTTTGAAAGTCAAAAGCAAGAGTCCCAAACTGTTTAAGAAAGTGTTTTCAAGCAAGGACTGGTCTGCATCGTCTGGTGGCACTTTCCGGCTGGTGCTACTGGTCGCTTACCAAAGAAGGTGCAGATAACGGAAGGGTGGTGTCTGGGGAGCTTACCTGAAGAATGAAGTCCATTTCCAGGGCTTGCCACCGCCATGGAAAATGGGGAAATGTTTTAAACCTCAGAAGCTTAACATTTCACTGTAGTTTGTCTGTGCCCCTTCAGCCCTCCTCCACCCTTGACCTGTGAGTGGCCCCCCTTCCCTCTGCACACGTTCGTTCAGTGAGAGTAAACACGTGTTGTGGAGTCAGGTCGACCACGTTGTGAGAGAATAGAGCTGTGCTTAGATTCCCCAGGCATTTCTTCCGAGACGTCTCTGAGCAGATTCAAACCAGCAGCCTTTTGGGTGGTGGCTGAGCACTTCTCCGTTTTTACCACTTAGAGATTCCCAAAGAATCACAGAGATACTGTAAACTAATCGGATCAAGTCTAATACTGTGTCTCCAGTAACTTTTAAGAACAGGCATCGCAACTTGATCCCCACCCCCACCCCAAAGCAAACCCAGTACCACTGGGCCGATTCTGACTCACAGCGACTCTCTAGGACACAAGAGATTTACCATCATTTTAGGGGCAGACGGCAGACTGGTCCCTATAGAACAGCTGGCGAGCTGGGACCACTGAGCACTTCAATCACGGCACTGCCAGCGCACCTTCAAAACCTGCAGTGTCGGTTCTGATTTCATAGCGACCGTTCCAAAAATACAGTGATCATCAAGGTGAAGCAGATTCACTGTCTCATGAGAGTCAGGAACAAGGACAACATGCCCTTTAGTCAGCAGGACTTTGGTGGTCCCTGCCCATGCAATCGGGAAAGAAAAACAAAACAGAAACGTACACGTGAGAAATAGAAATGCCAGTACTCTCCCACGGTGTCCCTGTTGCATAAAATCTAAGGCAATCAACCGAGAGACTGTTAGACATTAGTGTTGTTCATAAAGGTGACAGAAATGTGGAAACTTGGGGGTATGAGAAAGTTGGCATTTCGAATCAGTGGGGAGAAGAATAGACAGTTCAACCAAAGCTTGGGGGAGAGAAGGACCTCACATGAATTGTTGATGATTTTAATTGCCCGTTGTTTGTTCTGCTCGGTTTCCTGGCTTTGCTTTTGTTTAAACAGCAGAGGTGTTGTCTTTTGATGGCTCCGTAGAAGTCCTCCCTGAACTCATCCCATGCTGTCTGTCCTCTTGGCAGTCCTGCCTTTTTGTTCACGTGCACTTACCTACAGGTGCCAACGGGCAATTAAAATCATAAACAAACACAGGAATCTAGAGCATTATCCTTTTGGGACACGTTTAATATTTATTGGTGTACATAGCTTTCCCGTGTAGTTTTAAGTCTGGCTGCAGCACTTCTAGTTTTTTTAATTCCTCATGATGATTACAACTTTTTTTTTTTTTAATCTCAGACATGCCAAAGATTTATGTATTCCTTTGGGTCCTTTCCAAAGAACAAGTTTTGTTTTTAGTTCGTCCGTTTTGTTGTTGTATTATCAAGTCAGTTGTAACGCATAGCGACCCTGTCTACACACAGCAGAACAAAACACTGCCCTGTCGGTCCTCACAGTCACTGGTACCCTGGAGCCCGAGACTGCTGCCACTGGGTCAGTCCATGTCCTTAGGGGGTCTTCCTCTTTTTCTCCGACGCTCCATTTCACCAAGCATTATGTCCTTCTGCAGGGATTGGGTCCTTCTGAAAACATGTCCCAAGTAAGTGAGACAAAGTCTCAGTACCCTCACTTCTAAGAAGCATTGAGGCCACATGCCTTCCGAGATCGACTGTTACTCTTTCTCTGGCTTCTTGAGTTTTATCTTTATTTATTGTGGGTTTTGTTTTTTCTTTCTTTTATGTATTTAAGGCTGTTAATCCTAAGAGCTCGTTGGCTGCATACCTTCACTTTAATGAGGAGTACCCTCTTGGGCCTTCTTCGTTTTTTGGAAAGACCAGAGTTTCATTATTTTTTTCTCCTTTTAATCCAAGAGGTTTTTGGTTGTTTTTTTTTTTTTAGAAGACTGTTCCTCCGTTACCAAGTCGACTGATTTCCTCTTAATTTTCCTTCTTTAACGAGTCCCATCTGCAACTCTGTCCTTGCTCTTACAGGTAAGCATCTGTCTGGAATGTAACAGCAGCAAACTCCGCGGGTTAAAACGGAAATGGATCCGCTGCTCGGCCCAAGCAACAGTCTTACACCTTAAGAAGTTCATCGCCAAAAAACTTAACCTTTCATCTTTCAATGAGGTATAGTTGAGCCGTAATAGAAAATATAATAAGTTATTTCTTACTTGTATGAGGTGATAGTTCTAAAAACCTTTGGAGGTTTTGTATTTTGGTTTTCTTTCTTTTACAACCTGGTTCAGGGCTTTTTAAGTCTGGAAGGAAACAAAATTAACACTTCAATTTGATTTTCTAGGTAGTGGGTCAGGAAGTAGCAATAAACATTGCACTTCAAGAGAATGTGGAGGGTCCGGTGGGGTGAAGTGAAACCGTTTCAAAATAGAGTCAAGCAGAACCTGAGAGGGGTTCTGAAGCTGTTTAACGTCACAAGTGTGCTGATTGTCCCTCCCCATGTTGCAATGATCAGAGGCCCCTCCTGTCCCAGGCCTGCCCTGTAAGAGGACGTGGAGAGCAGTGGGCTTTGGAGGTGTGGGAGACCAAGAGGAAAGGCACGCTGGTCATGCTCACCCACCCAGGAAGACAGCGCCCGTGGGAGGCATGTAGGGCTGACTCCTGATGCTCAGAACCTTCCAGAAGGAGCGCACACTCCATGTCATCGGAGAGCTTCAGTTGTCTGTTCTTTCAGTGAACATTTATTTGAGCAACAGTTTTAGGCCCCTGGCACCCTGGGAAGGACAGCACAAGGTGGAAATCTGCTCCCATTGAGCCCCCCAGGGAGTGGCTGGAACAGCGGGTGGGAGAGGTACGGAGACAGGGTGATCACACAATTCCCAGGCGTGGTGAATGCTGGGAGTAAAATCAATCCTGGTGATGTGGGCTGTGTGAACACCCTGGCTCGGGCATCGTTGGGGACTGGTGAGGTCATACTGCTTAGACACCCTGAGATGGGGAGTACCAACAGCTGCCCGCTAAGCTGCCTGCAGACAACCGGGATGTGCATAGATTGGTGTGTCATTCTAAAAGACTCCTCCGATTGTGTGGGAGGAGGCTCACTGGGGGACAGTGGTAACTGCAGAGAGGTCTGTTGGGGCAGAAGCTGGCCCGCGGTGCTAACAGTGGACAGAGACAAGTGGACAGACTGGAGCATACTGGGTGGCCCCCAAACCTGGGGGTGTAACCTCATAGGGGTCTTCACTGATGTGATAAAGGACCTTGAGGTGAGTCATTGTGGACCACCTGGGTGGACTCCAAATCCAATGGCAAAGGTCCTCATGAGCAAGACAGAGGGAGGTCTGAGGCACCCACTGAGGAGAAGGTCATATGCAAGCAGGTTGGAGTGACATGGACCACGCCCAGGAAACCCGAGGTGTGCTGACATCAGCAGAAGCTGGACCAGGCAAAGCCCCAGAGGGCGCGCTGCTCCCCGACACCCTGATTTTGAACCTGTGGCTGTCCTTAATCAGAGAACCATTTTTTTTTTGTTTTTTTAAGTCACCCAATTTGTGGTCATTTGTCACAACAACCTCAGGAAATGAATACAGATTTTGATACCAGGATGTGGAATACTGCCTCAAAAAATACCTAAAAATATGGACGTAGCTTTCGAATTGGAAAATGGGTAGAGGATGGACAGATTTTGAGAAAGATGATAGAAAAAGCACAGGTCTCTGTTTTAGGTTAAAGGCCCACTCCACCACCCACGCAGGTGTCCGTCCGGGTGTCTAGGCTGTGATCCCTAGGGCTAACCCGGAGAGGCCACACGCACGTTCATAAGGCAGGACTGGTTTGGGGTGTGTCTGGAGTCACAGCCTTCTAAGAGGATGCGATGCAGCCCATGTCCCCCCCCCCCTTACTGAAGTCACACGCCCTTGCTGAGTCTCCTTTTGAGAGTAGAATGGGGTCTGGGAGCTGGGTGCATCCTCTGGGTTTGGGGTCCCTGTGCTGAGACCCTCCAAATCCAGGGTAAGATTGGTGCTAAGACACACGGAGATCGCTAAGGAACGCTGGGACCTTCCCCCTGACTTGGAAGAAGAAGAAAGCCTACCCCTAGAGCAGGGGGTCTGAATTCAGACTTTGAACTTCCTAACCTGTGAGAGAATGGATTCTGATGAAGGAGTTTCTGGTGAGGGCTCAGTAGGACATGAAGAACATGTTACGGAAAACTGAAGGAAAGGCGATCTTAGTAAATGGTGGCAGCAAACTTGGCTCTTCTGTTTCCTACAGAATTTGTAGGCAGTGACCCTGGATATTTAGTTGAGGGAGCTGTGGTGCAGTCTGGTCTTTCCTTGTTGCTCATGCTAAAATGTGAGAGGCAAGCTCACCCCGCACAAAGAACCGCCAAGCCGAAAGGAACCAGATGACAACAGATGCTGTTATTGGGGTGCTCGCTGTCAGGAGAGAAGACTGGGGGGCGGGGGTCCGGTGACTGGAGCTTTGCTGAAGACAGGGTGTGTAGCTCAGGGCCTCACTTAGCCGTATCAACAGAAGCCAGGACTGGACATGGGTTATCCAGGAAAGTGTTGCGGAAAACAGTCTTCTCTCCATGACACACATGGGAGACCCACAAGAGTTTTTACAATGTTTTATCGGCAGAAACACTGCTAGCTTGGACTAGAGGGGACAGAGGGTTACCAGACTTTCCAAATCCTTAAGGCAGGGAAAGGATGGTGTGGGTGAGGCTCAGGGTGGGGAGGTCACGGCAGTGGTCCTTGAGGCACTCAGGGCTGCTGCTCATTTCCAAGCTCAGCCTTTCCATGTCTCCCGTATGCTGACCCAAGAGTGACCTGGGGCTCCTGCTCCTCTCTGGGGCTCCTGATAGTGACCCAGAATGCAGTGCTCAGGAAGGACCCCGCCCGCAGCTGCTGGGCGCCATCACTGGCCGGGGGTCTGTGTCGGCTGTAGCCCAAGTGGGAGACAACAGCTTAGGCCTTTGCACACATAAGGCAGTCGCTGGTGGGCTGCAGGAAGGTGGTGTGCTGTGAGGCCTTCTGGGTATGCAAGGGGCCCTTCTCACTACGGTGACTCTCCTTATCAGAAATAACCGCTGACCTGCTCCATTCTGCATGCTGCACGGAATCTCTTTCATGGTGTGAGGCAGGGATAAATGAATACATGGAGCCGACTGTATTCCCACATGGATTCACTCTTCCATGATTAGAGAGAAAAGACTCTGAGAAGTTTTATCCTTTTGGACGGCTCTAGTTAATTAGTAGCTTAAGAGTTAGGCGTCAGTCCCGCATGTGAACAAGCAGCCGTGTGTGGAGCTGAGTCTGAGCCATCTCTGAGCCTAATCTCTCTTCTTCCCTTAGCTGGATATATTATGCAATGAAGAGATCCTCGGGAAGGACCACACACTCAAATTTGTAGTTGTCACTAGATGGAGATTCAAGGTAAGACTCCGCTACTTTGCGAGAATGAGTTTCACTGGTGTTATTGTGGCTGGGATGAACATTACAGAGCAGATTCGTTTTGCATCCAGTAATTCATACACACTTTGTTTTGTGACAGCGAGTGTAGTCCTCTCAGTGTTGCCGTCTCCGTGCGTCCTCTGTCCCTGCCCCTTCCTGCCTGCTGAGCTGGGGCTTGGGCTGCCCTGGGCTCTCCTGTGGTTCCTTGTACTAAGGAGCACGTTCCTCATGGGTGTTACTGGTCACTTGATGGGCCCATTGCTGGTCAGGCTGGAAGGTGGTCCCTGGGGGTGGCAGGGTGCCTGTTGGCCACAGTCTGTCAGACCTGTCCAGCTGGTCTTTCTTAGGATTTTGGACTGCGTACTGCATTGTCTTCCCTCCTGCCCAGGACCCTCTGGTCACGGTGGCTGGGTTCTATCTCGAGTTGTCCTTGATCGACAGCGTTAGCTGTAAATGGCCATCTTGTTTGGTGTCTGTTTTCAGCCCAGAGAAGATAGTGAATGATTTCACCACAGAGAGAATTGCTGTGAAGGACAGAGGCTGTCTGTCCTTCCGAAATCATCACTCGGGCTGCAGGGCTCCCCATGTTGACCTCTGAGCCCCTCTCTTGAGTGTTCCGAGGAGGGTGGTGGTGGAGAGACCCCAGATCATGGCCACAGGCCTGGGGGTTGTGAGGGGAAAGAGATGGGGTGCAGGGAAATCAGGGGAGCACAGAGAGAAAGAGAGGTGGCCACTGGGTGGAGAGGGGACTCAGCTAGGTCACCTGGGCCCAGGCATCAAGGGCCTTGTTCTTCTCCATCTATCTCTGCATCCCATGGAGAACGTGGCCAGGCCTCCTCAGTCCCCTCAGGGTCTCCTCTCCCACCTGTCCCACTAAGCAGCCAGCTCTGTGTTTTGCAGAAAGCCCCGCTACTGCTGCACTACAGACCCAAGATGGACCTGCTGTGAGCGCTGGGGCCTCGGCCGCGCACCACAGACTCCGCCCGTGGCTCCCGGGCGCCCCCGGACGGGCCACCACGCGCGGCCAAGTGGGACCACGCTTCACACGGACCCTTGCCTCCTCCCTCCGGGTGTCTCCTCCGGGGACCAGACTTCTGAATAGAGAATATTTATAACTTTTTGTATGAGAGAACTCACAACTCCACGAGACACTACCAGCACCGCGTTTACAGATGATGGAAACACTTCACAGTTCTGTCCGTCCACAGCCTTCGCCGCCTGGCTTCCACTGTGCGGATGGCGCCCGGCGCCCAGCGAGGCCCTGTAGGAGTAAGCTCACCTCCCACACAGACCACCTTTGCTTGCTTTCCAGGTCGTGAGAAATCTCGGTTCAGTTCAGTTTTTGAGTTAGGTTTCATGATAAGCCTACAAAATACACGTACTTTTATTGACTCCTCCCTAAGTTATTGAAAAAGACCCCTTTTCATGGTGAATGACGATATTTATGTTGCCTTTAGCGTCCCTGAAGACTTAGAAAAAATATAAAAAATTTAATTTAAAAGTATACCAAAAGAGGTTTCCATTAATATTCTGATGTAGCGTGGCATTTAATTTTCCGCAGTATAACAAACCCGATAGCTCCCCTCGCTGGCCTTGGTGTGGTGTGGTACTCTGAGGCAAACAAAGTCCAGCATCTGTGATTCGGTAGCGTAGCCGCCCACGCTCCTGGGGCCCACTGGAGGGTCCCCAGAATGTCCCTCGATCATGAAGACAGGACACTAGAATTCATGTTCCCTCTCCTCACCCAGTACGGTGGGCTAGTGTAGGTAACTTGCATACGCCTGCAGAACAAGTCTTGGTTTTTAAAAATCCCTGATTAAAATGGGCACTAATGGTCCCGTACCATCATTCCTTTTTCTGTTTTCCGTTTGCTGAGAAGAGACAGGGTGCTGTCTGTGTTGTTTCCCTAGAAGCCTGACTCAGTAGGTGCTTCGGAATGGTACGACCAGGCTGCCCGCGGGACGCCTGCTGGGGGAAGGCCAGTCAGTGCGTGTGCCCCAATCCTACATCAGTACGCTCAGACACACCAGTAGTTCTGACCCCTGGTGCCCTTGAAAAGCAGCAGCCAGGTGCCTAGATTGTTTCCTTTCTGCCCCGGGGAAGAGCACCTTCACAGATGAGCGTGAGAGATGTCTGGGTAGGCAAGTCCAATACGTCTGAATGGGAAATCCCTCCTGGTCAGCAGAAGTTGCTTTTTTTTGGTTACTTTGGTTACTCATCCCTCACACACCTGTCTGTCAGAGACACTTTTGCCAGCCCCTCCTCTCTCCCAAATGTTCAGTTTTGTCGAGTTAGAGAATAAACTGTTTCCCATAAACACATACACACTTGTTCCATTAAGATAGTGGTTCAGCATTGTGAGGAGAAAGAATGAGGAGAAAGTCATTTTCCGGAGGACCCAGTGTTGCCTGGGTGTGTTTTCCTTGTCACCTCCTGAAGCCATTTCATCCGTATGTCCCGTGTTTATTTCTTGGTGGACTTTATATCTTTTTATTTCCATGCCCATCATGTTACAAGACGAGATGGTCCTAACTGCAAAGTCACCTCATCTCCCGGGAGCCTCGTTCAAAGTCCAGTGTGATGCTCTGGTGGGGTCCCTGCGGTGCTTCATGTAGCGACTAGCTTTTTTTCTTCCTTTGAATTTCGTTAAAAAGTTAGGGTTGGGCTCGTCGACATTGACTTTTGTTTGCTTTTTTTTTTCCCTTCTGCTTCCTACAAAATGTGGGCAGCAGCTACTAAAGAGACTGGATTCTGGTTGTGAGAAAAGCATTCAAATGAATTCAGTCCAAGTAATTTTAACATAAGGCCTTTTTAAAACATCGAAGCAGGTCCTATTGTTCAGATTTCTTTGAATTCTGCCAATTCAAGCCCATCAGCTCCTAGTACTATTTTAGTTATTTAGTTACCTAAGCTTGCTATTCATCCAAATCATTGTTTAGAGTTATTATTATACAAGGGTTTAAAGAGTGCACGTGTCTGAGTAAATATTACCTGTCTACCTCAACATATACACACTGCTGACGCGTCCTGTCAAACCATAGATCATCATCCCAGTGCCGTTTTAAGTATACATGTTAGAACTTAGGTATTTTCCCCATGTGGTGAAACTGAGGAATATTCAATAGTATGAACATCCAAATTCAAATAAAATTAACTCTTACAGCTCAGATTAGATGGACCATTGCTCGAGGAATCTCATAGTAGATATTTGTAACTTTGTAGTTAACTTTGAAATCACTTGAATTTGCTATGGTGCTAAGTTGAAACACTTCAAACACACAGAGAGATGTCGTCGATAAGCTGAAGCCAGTATTAACATCTCCAGCTGGTGGCCCGCCATTCTTGTTGTGCGATTCTGCTTTTGTAACTGTCAACCTGACAAAACCTCAGCCGCAAAAGTACCTATTTTTCTAAAGCCCCATCGTGTCAGACGGACGACCGTCGCTCCCGGCCGACTCTCTTGGTGACATATCGCCTCCGGTGGCATCACCGAGTAGTAGCCTTACCGAAGTCGGAAGAATGAGAGGGAAGCGAAAACATCCGAGGGAAGCTCAGAGATGGGTTCCTTCCGTTTCTGTTTACGCTTTCGTTTCTCACCCAACGTCGAAATTTTCCTTTCCTCCAGCACAGAAGCCAGGACCAGTTAGTGATTGGATCCTATCGAGTCTACTTTTTTTGTTTGTTGTATGTTTGTTTGTTTATTAACAGATGGAGTTACTGTGAAGTTGTTTTCACAACTATCTCTGCTGGTCAAACAAGGTCTTCACAGCATCCTCGTCCACAGCAGTGGGGCCGATTACCCGGCACACGGTCCTACTCCATAACCGTTTTCACGGAACTAGAAAAATGCAGATAGAATATATAATATTGAATTTAAGATTTGGGGGGTTAAAAAAAAAAAAAAGAAAGAAACTTAACTTTATAAGATTATTTATTCTATTTTAAGCCTTCTATCATATTTTCCATCCAGTTGTTTGGTTTCTGTGGCCCGGCTTTATTGACAGGCATATAAAATGAAATTGTGAGATGTTTTGCAAGCTTCCTTTTTTTTACTTTGAATAGCTTTGAATTTGTATGTTGTTTTTTTTGTTGTTGTTGTTGTTTTCTATGGGTGAAGAGCGTTCTTTTTTATGCTTTTGTGCAATAGGTTCAACAATGCATTTATTATTAGATGATCTGTTCAAATTGTAATGTAGCATCTATTCTGCTAAGTTGAAAGGGAACGTAGGTGAGATTTCAGAATATGTACGTTCAACAATTTGGTTTTTCCTTGTTCATTGTTAATGATGCTAAGAATGCTATTAATCAGGATTGTGTGTATGCGCGCCCCCTGCGTGCATGTGTGAGAACTACCTGTCAGCAGTACTTAACAACAGTGATGATCAGACAAGCATCACATGGCGTGTGGGCGGTCCAGAAACCGGCCTGCCTGGGTCTCCACGTGGCTGTTCCCCCGCAGACACGCCACCGCCAACCCACGGGCCGGGAGGATGGTGCTACTGCCCTGGGGAGCGCCAATACCTGCCTGAGACACACACACACACACTCACGGCCTTGGAAATTCTCTGAGATTCGCTAGTTTTCCACAAGATACAAAGTTTTGTGGCATTTTACAGTGGACGGAAATGTATCATTGGATTCAATATCCTAGGAACAAGCCAATAGATTTATACATTGTATATGAATATTTGATACCGTTACAAGACATCAAAAAAATCAATGTCATACAAACAGCTAAATTCATAGGCACGCACATGAAGAAAAATCCACATTCTCTTATTTCCTCAGGAAATCATTGGAGCTTCTCCACATCACATGTGACCTTAACATGATAAACTAATGTGTGTCTCTGCCTTGGTATTTCAAGAAACTCGGTAGATTAATTGGGATAAATCAACTTAGAAATCCATCACTCAAATGATCCCTTTGTCTCCCAGTATCCCGCTTCCTGCCAGGCGCTCGGCAGCGCGGGCACAGGGTCTCCCCCATCAGAAGTTGAGCAAGGGGCCCACAGAGCACCCACATGTCCTTCAGTGACCCGGGAGTGTAGTTGAAGAATGAACTCAAGTTTGCGTGTCCCCTACAGTGTCCACAAAGCCGTTAACATACATGTCTCCTCCTGTCCCTGAATTGGACATGAGCAAAGCCTTGTTTTCCCCATGAAATCAATTTAGGGTGAAGGGACACTAGTTCAACCACGAAGCCTTTATTATCATCAGCGTGTGGCAAAACAGGCGGTTAGAGCGGTCATAGTTCTTGGAAGCGATCACACAGATACATATTTTTTGACTGTTTAATTTGAAAGTTTACATTTTTTTTCCTCTTTTATGCTTTGTGTTGGTGTGTAGTTTTTGTACACTTAGTGGCTAGTTTTTGTCTACAATCTTTTTTGGAATATTGCTTAAATGTTTTGATTTTATGATAGTGAAGCTTGTATTCCGTGTTTTGCCAATTAATATTATATGCTTGTAATAAAAGCAGAAGAAAAAATTTCACCAAAAGCTCCGGCAGGCTGGGAATGTTGTCACTTAGCATCTTTGCGTGCATCTACAATGACTCATTAGCGGGACAGCACTTGTATCCAGACCCACAAGAACAACCCCTGCGCTTACCACAGCCCATGATTAATGTGCACTTGACACACTCGCTCTCTCTCCGCCAGCTCTTCTCACAGCCCAAATCCTTTCCTCAGCATCTGTCTAACAGGGTGCCCAGCCTCACGTAAGCTGACCCAGCGTCTGCACCTGAGGTTGGGCAGAGACGATCTGTGAAGTTCTCACTGATCATCTGTTTGCCTGGAGAGAAAATTCGCTTTGGTTTGAAGCTGGGTCTGCCAATGAGAACACTTTATGAAACCAAAACCCACATGGTAAAGTAACTGCGTGTTTTAGTACAAGGGCTGACAGACAGTCGCGTGTTCTGCTTCCCTACATGAGACGATGAGCCAG